GCCTTTCGGAATATGAGAAGGGATGGACCAATCTAATATATTCTTTAAAAAATGAGGAAATTGCTCTTTATGTCTAGCCTCTCTTTTTCCCCCTTGTGCTTCAGAAAATTACTTAGCTAGCTAATGTAAGTTCATATTCCTAGCTTTTTTAGTTCTTTCAAGGTAATAACCTTGAAAGGTAAAAACCTAATAAAGGCATAGGGTAGTTTTTGATCTATAAATTAGAGAAATACCTTTCAAAATTCTCTTCTAAATATAGATGGAGGAATTTTATGGGTGGTTTCTCTGAATTTCTATAATTAAAGAAGCAATTCTGCACCAACTTCTTAACAGAATTTGTTTTTCTCAGGATTTGAAATTGAATATAAGCATATAAAGACAAGGACTCTTGTCATCCCTGGAAATATGATAATACAGTGATCCAACCCTTGTCTAACTCAAAACTACATAAGTGTACTCCCCCATGAGAATATCTCCAGAATTTTGTTCTGATTGCAATATCTTCAAAACAAATTATCTGCCATCAAATTCAATAATATATAGTAAGGAAGAATATACAGTAAAATCTTGTGTTCTAACACTAGTTTAAATAACAATTTTAGGAGGCTTTTGCAGAAGAAAGATTGTGGATTCAATTACATGATGAGTAACTTCATTTTTTTAAAGGTATAAAAACAGTATTTGCTGGCTCCAGCTGCAATGATCTTGTCTGTACAGAACAATGTGTAATGAGTGGACACTTTGATAAGAAAATTCGCTTTTGGGATATTAGGTGAGTGCAACTTCCTTTTGAAATAGGGACAGACCATTTTGAAGTCACAATGATTCCATGTAGATAAAATGGAGGTTCAGATTCAGAACCTTTTGACTACAAAAGATTTTACATGTTTCAAATGAAAAGTGATTGTCCTGCAATGTGAACTCATACACTTTGAAGAGCAATGTAATTAATCAGACATGAGGAGCAATACATAAACAATACCTAAAGCCACACTATTAGATTTTTGGTTCACCCGGATCAAAGAACTTAAGTTAGAAAAATGGTCCTGCTTCCAAACCTAGGAAATCCCAACAATACAGGTGGTTTAATGACTAACACCTTCACATTCAGCTTTTAGGAAGCTCTACTCTGGTGAAAAATATAATGCACTTAGGCCAACAGGGAAAAATACTTTTCTCCAGTGGCTGCCACAAGAATGCTAGTGTTCTAAAGTAAATTTACCTATTGCTATTTTAAAAAGGTTAGATTTTTGTTCTAAGCGGCAAAGCAATACATCACTTAATCTAATGAGCACATAAATTATGCTACTGATTACAGCCTTTATCCCCTGCAACATTTTTACTGAGGCTTTTTGTACAGTACCAAGCAAAGTACCATTAGGAAATGTTAACCTGTGCTACATTTTTTTTTTTTTAGAACTGAAAGTGTGATACAGGAAATGGAATTGCTGGGAAGGATTACAGCTCTAGATCTCAACCCTGAGAGAACAGAGCTTCTTACATGTTCTCGTGATGATCTGTTGAAAATTATTGATCTCAGAATCAACGCTGTCAAACATACATTCAGGTGATTATGGCTCTGCAAATGAGTTGTAGATTTCTCATCTTTGTCAAAAGCCAAACATTCAGAGCTTGTTCGGTTGACATTTAATGGTAATAAGCAGCCTGTTCTTGAAAAATATCTTTGTCGACAGTCCATGACATTCTAATATAGATGTTTGTGCTTAATAAAAGTAAGAAAAAGACCTGATTGGTTTGATTATTATTTTTCAGGTTTGTGTAGCTGAGCTGTCTTTTTGTAGCTGCTGATAAAATGAACTGGAAAGATGCATTTAACATTTTGTGGTGGGTTTTTTCTTCCAGTGCTCCAGGATTTAAATGTGGGTCCGATTGGACTAGAGTTGTATTCAGGTAAGAAGCTGAGCTACCAAAACTTGGGTTGGGTGTGGTATTTCCTTCTGGCTTTTTATTATTTGTATACAGTATATAGCGCTACTTGCTTAGCATATTAGATTAGATAATTAGATGAAGTTATTCTATATCGGTATGAAACTTCAAGAACAGAACTACATTCTGTTCCCACTGCTCAGAAGAAAAGAAAATTCAGAGCATCTAATTAGTTGTAGTGTTTGTAGGTGTTCATTTTACACTTATTTTTAGTGGTTTAAGTAGGAGGAAAACTAATTTAGTGTCACTTTTGCAGTTAAATATATTCATTCCATTTGGTTAAAAGTCTGTTTTAGATTTTTGGGTGATTTCCATCAACTAATGACACATTGTACTACACGCAGCAATAACACGTTTTTTCTCTGTTCCAAATCTATGATTTTTTAGCCCTGATGGAAATTATGTTGCGGCTGGCTCAGCAGATGGATCACTTTATATATGGAGTGTGCTCACTGGAAAAGTGGAAAGGACACTTTCCAAGCATCACAGGTGAGTCAAGATAATGCTGTTAAAATCTGAACTTTCTACATTTTGGAGGGGAAACTAGCCTACAAGGCAGCCTTCCAGAAGCTGATGTTCCCTACATGTATTGGGGCTATTACTTCCAGACTGCAAGGCTAATGTTAAGTGCTCAAAACATTACTGGAAAACATGAAGAGGTCAATGGCAATGCATCTTTGAGTCAAATGTTTCTCGTTCTACTTAGTGAATAGCAATAATCTTCTAAAATAACTCTGTGGAGACTGAGTAACATTTCCTCCTTAATTCAAATTTTATGTCTTTTGGGGATCTAATAACATTTATGTCATCTTTTTTGTTTCAGCAATCCCATCAATGCTGTGGCATGGTCACCATCTGGAGCCCATGTGGTCAGTGTGGACAAAGGAAACAAGGCGGTGCTGTGGTCTGAATTTTGACCTGAAAGTGCAAAACACTAGCTTGCCAAAAAAAAAAAAATATGCATGAGAAGGCGAAGTGTCTGTCTGTCTAGAGAGGAGAGAAGTCCCATACCTGGCTCTCATCTAAGTTTATTTGCCCAGTGCATAAGCTTGCCTTTAGCAAAGAATTATTGATGCATCCATCAGGAAGAAAAGTGGATCCTGAATACAGTATGTTGCTGCTATCTAACTTTCATAAAGGTTTGGGTGTGGAACCGGTCATTTTTAAAATGCACCATCTGCACACTGGAAAGTTTCTTATACCGGATAGCAGCACTCCTGAAACAATATTCTATAGCATTTCACTGTTGAGTGCTGTAGCAAAAGTTCCTGTATGTTCTGACTTTATGCATGTATTCATACATGTGTCGTCTTCTCTGATCTAGCTAAGAGAGGAGGTGAAGGATCCTAAGACATAGAACGGTTGGGATCCGAAGTGTTATCTCATTTGAGTAAGCCATGAATTTGGCAGTTGCATCTGTGGGACTTCTAGTACTTAGCAAATCACAGCTTCTTGTACCAGCTTGATTTGTGGCAGGCCGAACTGTCTGAAGTTGTATCCTCAAAAGCTTATCCAGGCAGCAATGATACAGAAGCATTTTAATTTGTGCATTTTGGGTTTTAATTGTGGGATACAACCAGAGGTTCTGCTGTAATAAAGAATGTATGATAGCACGACTTGAGCACAAAAACCAAATCCAGAGCAACTTCTGCTCTCTTGCAGTTTTATATTGAGGGCAAAGGACATGATAGGAAATAAACACCTGAAGCGGAATGTCCTGGTGCTGGCAAATCCTTATCATTTGCCTCTGACTTAAATGTGCAATATTCTTTCTATGTTGGAGCTCTCTCTCTCTCTCTCTCTCTCTCCCTTCCATGGAGGAGGCTTTGGGGGGAGGGGGGTGTCTGCATCCTTCGGTGGTTAAATGCACAATATGGTTTGAGGAGAATTTATGGCATTGAAGATTCATCAGCCAAATATTTTCCATATTCAGTGGGCTGTGATACAAGCCACCAGCATTAAATTGCCTTTTAATTTGCACTTTAATTTTTCTTCCTTCCACAACTTATTTTGTATTGCTTGTATTGGAGGGCAGTGTGAGCAGGATTCTTTTGGATCTGGAGTTCTCATTAGATCCCTTCACTATGGCAACTTATGCAGAGGAACATGGAAAGTACATGGGACAAACTTTATTTATTGTACTAATCTGTCCACTAGTACTTGACTGATTATAAATAAACCAATATCCTGCTTCTAAATCTTCATTGCTTTTTCTTTATTTTTTATCTGCTTTGGATACAGTCATAGGAATGGAAAACAGTTTGAAGAGACTACCAAAGGCTCTATATAAAGTTTCAGCAGCAAATATATTTGCAAAACCTACAATGAGATGCTGGGGCAGAAGCAATAATGCATCTACTGTTTCAAAAAAAAAAAAAAGCCCAAAAGCACAGTAGGGATAATCAGAAACAGTTTTGAAAATAGACTGCCAACATTGTAATGTAATTCAGTGGTGTGACCACATCAGGAATATATATGTAGTTCTGGTTGCCTCAACCTCATAAAGGATCTAATAGAGTTAGAGGTGGTTCTGAGGAGGGCAACTAAGATGATCATGGGACTCAAACTGTTTCCCTATAAAGGTTGCAACATTCCGGGAGGGGGGGTAGTCTACAAAGGAGAGGGGATATGATCAGAGTGTACAAAACTGCATACTGTACATAAAATGGATAAAGAGTAGCTATTTTCCCCTTCCGAAAATACAAGAACCAGAGGATACTTGATGGTATCTTGAAAAAATTGGGACAGACAAAAAGTGTGGTTTTTTATGTTATACATATGTGTAGTCCTTGAGCTTTGACCACGATTGAGCCCAAAATAATGTTACTAAGTGAGAGACTTGTTAACTGAGTTTGCTCCATTTTCTTGCCACAGTTAAGTGAATCACTGTGATTGCTAAGTTAATGATAAGTTAGCCATTATTAAATGAATCTGTCTTTGAGACTTTGTCACAAAGTCACAAAAAGTGGTGACATGACTCCAGGTCACTGCAACTGTCATAAATATGAAATAGTTGCCAAGCATCTGAATTTTGATCATGTGAACATGGGGATGCTGCAATGATCGTGTGAAATACGGTCATAGGTCACTTTTTCAGTGCCATAGCTTTGGTCACTAAATAAACTGTTCTAAGTGGAGAACTACTTATATTTCAACTTTGGAAATTGCTATCACAAGAAATGGTGCTGACTTCCAGCTTCGCTGGCATTCAAAATGTGGACCAGTTCATGGTAGTCATGGGGATCAATGGCTGTTAGCTTTGATGGCAGGATGACTGCTTCTGAAGGCCATCGGCTGGGAAACTTGTGGGCTTCTGCAGTTGTTGACCATTGCAAGAACTAACTGCTGGACTTGGGTTCAGATTCAGCAGGGCATTGCTTATGTTCTAGGAATGTCTTTAGGATATTCATGTCAGCAACAAGATTTTGGTACATTCTATAATTTTATCATCATTAGGAGGCAAAGCCAATGTTATTGCTTGCAGTTTACCTCTGATACCAGCATCCCATCAGAAAATGTATTTGTGAAGAAGACAGCTCATCAACTGAACACTTAATATGCTAAAGGGCAGAGAATTATACTGTACATGTACAGTTACTAAATATTTAATTTTATTTTCTCTGATGGTTTACTACAGTCTTAACAATATTGCCTCCAACTTGGGTTACCCTCAGCCTTTCTAAATCTGTGATGATACTTTCTAGGTGAAAGGCTTGCAAACTTGATATTTCCACATACTTCATATAAATAAATTTGAGCACAGCAGAACCAATAGTAAATATATCTGTTTATGTTTTTAAAAAGTGCTTTGTGATACAGTGCTTCCCGGAATTTGTTGTGCAAAAGAAATCAGATCCACATATGTAGAGTTGAAAATGACTGTGTTCAATTCTGCCTAATATACAGGAATCTTTCCAGACTGCTTGCCTTCTTTTGGGATCAGATAGATAAGGCTTTATGGAGTTTGGGGGGATCTGTTCAGGATCTCTTGCGTCTGCGCAAGGATTCAAAGCTAATTCCCCACATGAGTCTTTTTCCTGCCTGGCTGGGTGCTTCATAACATCTGCTTACCTTCAGGCAGTATTCTTTTTCTGTTGATGCCCCTGGTACCAACCCGATACTGCTCTGCTTCACATAAGGCTTTGACTCTTGAAGCAGCTTTGGAAAATGTTCTTCTGAATGTTCTGGAAGCCAGATGAAAACTCTTCATTTTTGTGCCATTTTCAGAAGATCCAGAGGTTTTGCAAGAGCACAGCACACGCATTCTCACAGTTTCTGCAGCCTCCAAAAATCACACAAAGAAAGGACATGCTTTCTAAATTAATTGCTGGATTTGGGTGAATGGTGGTGTGTCACCTATAACATTGTGGCCTGTCACCTTTAACATCTGTATCAGGTTCACCATTGCTCTCGACCATGGTTTGGTCATAACTGCATTTTCAACTCTACAGAAAGAAATCCAGGGAATTATATCTGGAGTCTCTTCATATACGAGGTAACTGATACGATTTTAGTACTAGTCGAACGTTTGCATCTGCTTGAAATTATTTTCATGCCCTCTATGCAAAAATGTTTTCATATGTCCATCTGGCAAAGGTATCTTCTGACACTTCAAGGATATATGCTCATGACAGATTCTAATGCTGAATCAGTGAGTGGAAGGCTTATCCAAGATTATGCTTAGTTTCTACAAAGGAACACTGTAGGTCTTGTGTAACACATTAAGTATGTTTAGTCAGAATCTCTGACTAAACACTCTGAATGATAGAAAATAATCCAAGTGCTTTTCATGAAATACAAAATCTGGCAATATTTTCCAGAGCAATGAAAGTGCTCTAAAAAAGATGCAAATTTCTTACCTCCCCAAGATTTGTCCTCAGGCTAGGTGATGCAAAACTAAGAAAGCATGTTTTCTTCATTCTTAGATTGTTCTTCATTAATTCAGTTTAACTTCACTTTCAAATCTCAAATTCCAAACAAATTCAATTGTACCTTAAATCATAGGGAAAGGAAACATATCTATAGATATGGAACCTTGGTTTTATAACTCAGTTTCTCTTAGATTAGGGGTGTCAATGCTGTGTCAAGGGCAAGCCATTCCCATCCCAGTCCACAAATGGGGAAAACGTCATGAAATGTCACATGACAGCAATGTGACGTGGCGAGTTTGACACCCGGGTCTTAGATAAATGTTGAGTACAAAAGTAAAAACATATACATATTTGTCCCTAAATGGTAACTGAATATACCGGCTACCCTGATTCCAAATGGGCTTTCAGGTAGAATTCCAGGGGCTGGTTATCACTGATAGAATGATTGTCTTTGTGACATAGGCTGTTTCTCTGGGCCTTTGGGAACTGGAGTCCCAACTGGATGATAATATTACTGCTGTTTTGGTTGCCATTTTATTATTACATTATTTTCTGTAGATAATGTGTATGTGGTTATGTATTCTGTAATTTTAAGCATGTTTCTCTATATAAAGAGCCATGAATATGGTGGAATCTTAGCAAATTGTATTTTTGGTCACTCAATTGATTGCTAACCTTCAAAGGGAAAAGGGTAAGGCAGTGAAGCCGCGCATAAAAGAAAATAGAGGGAGGGTGCAAAAGGGAGCAATAACAAATATAGCAAAATTAATTATATTATATTATATATTATAAACAGATGTAAAGGAAAGAATGGCAGAACCTGGGGTTAAAAGAGGGATCAGCCTAGAATCTCTACCTAGCCACAAGCAAACTAAGTCCAACTCCCCCTTGAATTCTGTTGATGCATATCTAACTCCTAGCAGGTGCCTATTGTGATAGATGTTGTTGTAATTTGACAACTGGATTTTAAAATCCTATTCTAAGAAAAATAGGATTTTTCAACTGGAGAAATGGTTCTGATCAATGATATATATAGAAGTCTGAAGAATGTGCGCAAAAGGATATATTGTGTTACGCAAACATAATAAACAAGGCTTTACTCCTTATTGACTAGGATGAATCACAGCCCTAATAAGGCAAGATGAGGAAGAGGTTTAAAATAAAGCTGCTTTCAATAACCTCATTAAATCTTCTGCCTGTTGTCTTTGTGCTTTATGAAATTAGAAATGTTGACACTGTAGAATTTAGAACCCTTAGATAATACCTAACGCAAGCTGATAATTCACATCAAATATTGTGGCCTTGGGTTCAATTATTGAAACTTGGCTCCGCCTAAGCACCAAATCTGATTTTCAGAGTCCCTACAAATTGCTAGTCTAGGCTCTAAAGGAGGTAATGCTTCATCCGTAGCAAGAAGATCAAACTTTTATTTTGCTGCCTGGGTCCTGTAAATTTGTTATTTGTGATAGATTTTTATTTTATAGCTCGTGAAACTTTCTGTTCTTTGGAATTGCTGAAGCATTTGGAACATTTACAGGTAATTTTCTTTTTTCTTGCAGATTTGGCCACTTAAAGACTGCAGTCCTAGGCACCTTAAGTATCCGTATGACCTGTTGAATGAAGTGAAACATAATTCCTAAGAAAATATGCATATAGTTATTCTTGTTCCTGATGTATCCAGTGCATTGATCCTAATGCTAAGCATACAGTATAGAACGTATTTCAGAATTGCAGAAGAAATCTTGTCATTTATTCAATAATATTGCTTCCATCTTGGGAAAATGAGAGCTAACATATCATTGTAATTACAGAAAGCATTTTGAAAATGCATTGATGGTTCATCCTTGTTCTGCATTCTCAAGACTAAGGTGAACAGCTGGAATCCATTTTTACTGGCATAACAATGAACTGAATTGTAGTCATTAAAAAAGAAAGAATATTAATAATTGAAAAATAAATTTTGCTAATAGCTTCCATAGGAAAAAGGTGAGATAAGTTGTTGTTTTAAGCTTCTAAATTATTGAACCTAAAACCATAAAATATGACAACAGTATGTTATATTATCCATATATAATTGGTTATTATTGACAGATAATATGATGAAAATTGTTGCTTTGAGTTTTGCATTTCTCATAGAAAACTTTTTATTTCATGGTTCTTTGATTTTTATTCCTAACTATCATTCAAAAAATTGCGGCAAGCATACAGATTTGGTAGGTGATTAAGGCATCGAGCTTAAAAGCAGGAGACCATGAATTCTAGTTCTGTCTTTCTCTCAACCCAACTCACCTCACAAGGTTGTTGTGGAGAAAAAATAAGGTGGAAGTTGTGTTGAATATGTTTGTTGCCCTGAGTTATTTGCAAAAAAAACTGTAAAGGCAAGATACAATAAATAAAAAATAAATTAGGAATCTTTTTATTAGAAATTGAACTGGGATACTGTTTGTTAGCTATGTTCCATTCATATATTAGTAAAAGAAATGACAATTATAATATGTTGCAAGTCTCCAATGGCCTCTCCTTATGTAGGAAGCTAAAACATAATAACCTTCATAGAAACTTCTCATTGAAAAAAAAATTAAAGAATTGCAGATCAATATCCATGTAGTCCTTGATTTACAACTATTCATTTAGTGACCATTTAGTTACAATGGCACTGAAAAAAGTGATTTATGACTTGTTTTCACACTTACAACCATTGTAGCATCCCCATGGTCACATGATCAAAATTCAGCGTTTGGCAACTGGCATGTATTTATGACAGTTGCACTATCCCAGGATCATGTGATCACCATTTGTAACCTTCCCAGCCAGATTGTGACAAACAAAATCAGAATCTGACTGTTTAATGACCTCGTGATTCACTGCAGTGATTCAATTAACAACGGTGGCATAAAGTATCATAAAATGGGGCGAATCTCACTTAACAACTGCATTGTTCAGCAATGGAAATTTTGGGCTCATTTTTGGTTATAAGTAGAGGACTGCCTGTGTTAAATAAGTATGAAATCTTCACAGTATATGGCATAGTTTATTTATATTGAACTCAAGAACACATTTCAGAAAGTAAAAAGGGAAGGAACAGAAAGGAAGCATTTATGTACAAAGCTCTTCCTGACATGTCTTCCTCATTCTGTTGCTTTTCAAATACATTTATTTATTTGTTTGCTTATTAAATTTGTTTGCCATCCATCTCACTGCAAGGCTTACAATACAACCATAATTTTATATGTGGGTGGGTGGGATAAGTGTAACATTGTGTGTGTGGTGGGGGATGAGAATTGCTAGTAGTTGATCAACCACCTCCAGTATATTCCCCCACTGGGACCCCAAACAACCTGGCAAAGCCAGGTCTTCAAGCTCTTTCAGAAAGTTAGGAGGGTGGGAACCAATTTCACTCCAGGGGGAAATATGTTCAACAGGTCAGGGGTCTTGTCAGAGAAGGCTCTTCTTCTGGACTCTGCCAGCTGGAATTCCTTGACTGACAGGATCCACAGCAACGGAGAATTCTGAAAGAAATTAGAAAAGTTAAAGTCCAGACCTTTAGAGGGTTAATCCAATGGGCAACTTCCTAAATAGGTTATTGTATGATTCCTCAGATAATATTATTTAAAACATTTGAAAAACTTTTCAACCAAAAAGAAAAGAAAAAAAGGAAAATATTATTTAAAATGTTTACATTCACATCCATTGTTTGTTTGTAGATCTTACAGTTTGATTATTCATTCCCTGGTCCTGGTCTAAAAATTTATTGAGGTAGGACCATTTGATCCTTACCAGGTAATATAAATCAAAAGATGAGCTGCACTGATGCTTCAAGGCATCACTCAATCTCTGACATCAGTGTGAAATACGTCAGAACCACTAAAAGGCATGTTATCTACAGGAAGGTATCACATGACAAAGCTGTAAGTATTTAGCAATAAACTATTATGTACCTGTAAGAATGTGAGACTGAAACTAGATAGGGATTTCATATACTTGCCTCTTTAGAAATCAAGCTATAGTGATACTAAGGGTGTACTATATAATGCAGTGTTTCTCAACCTTGGCGACTTTCAGACCTGTGGACTTCAACTCCCAGAATCCCCCAGCCAGCATAGCTGGCTGGGGGAATTCTGGGAGTTGAAGTCTACAGGACTGAAAGTCACCAAGGTTGAGAAACACTGATATAATGTATTGCATAATTAAGCTGCTCAAGGCAGTTTAAGTCCAAACCAGCTTTTTTAAAAAAAAACTGCCCAGATTGAGATTGTTTGCAACATCTTATAAAAGATTTAGTGTGCACTGCAGCTACCATGTCCCCCCACTAAATATTTTTCCTGCAGTATTCTCCCAGCTATGTTCATGTCCCTTGCCTCCTTATTTTTCCTGGAATATTTTTTTTAAAAAATAACCCCTGTACCTCAAGTGACTGAAGGAAAAAATGAAATGATGTACCACGACTTAATTTTTTAAAAATCCAAGGAAAGATAAGGAAACTAGAGAAAGAAAAGTGTTAATTAAAAAAAATACTTTGTGCTAATCTTTAAACAGGGAATAGTCTGCATCTTAAATACAGCCAGCACTTTATTCACCACACCATTAATCTAGCATTACAACAGGGAAAGCAAAAAAAAACTTCCTTGAATAAATATTTTCAAAATGAGTGGAGGGGACCATCCTTCCTCTGCAAAGTAACCAGTGAACTTCTTCAGTCAGATAATGAAATAAAATGCAGCAGCCCAAACTGTCAGGAAGGACTGCGTGGATGGTGTAGACTTGAACTCTCAGAATCCCCCTGCCAGCATGGGGAAATTGTGGAAGTGAAAGCCACACATCTTAAAATTGCTGAAGCTGAGAAAAACTAATTTAAATTGCAGTAGCAAGTAGCATACTGGCTGGCAAATTCCAAGAGTTAAAATGTACACATCTTAAAATTATAAAGTTTGAAAACTCTGAGTAGATGTAGAAGGGAGCTATTTTAATAATAATTGGAATCAATTAAAGCTTGTTAGTAAGAATGCAGGCATACGCCATCTATCTTCATCTCAATTTTGTCCAGGAAGAGAAATATTAAATTTTTCAATATGGTGTAGCTGCAGTGACTCTCAACAGCAATTCTAAAATGTATTGATACATTAATATAATAAATATACATTTAATCTCCCATGTAACTTGGCCCCAAGTAGAAAGTAAAATATGTTCCAGTCAATCCATTCAAGTTGCTTCTTTTGCCTTGCCAAATGCATAATCAAATCCTATTGTGCACTCTTTGTACTTGAAAAGAAAATATTTCTGATGAAAAAATAAAACAAATTATTTAAGAGATACAACCATTCTAAGCTAGACAAACGCAACTCTCAAAATGTTTTTATGAATAGTTGTTTTAAATGTAAGAGTTCCTTCTCTTCTAGTTTTACCTCTGGATAATCAAAATTTTATTGCATTTCAACTTGCAACTTATTAAGGGGTCTTTTTCAACTGGTTAAGTTTACTATTTTGATTTACATGATTAGCCATACTGAGTTTGTAGAGGAAAGTGCCACTATAAATGTATCAAATAAAGAAAGATATCTAAACTGCTCTTTTTTACTTTTACACCAATAGCAATTGGTATAGCATCTTTAAACTGATTTATTGAACTGTAATTTTGTTCAATCATTCCATCCTTCAGGTTACAATCTACTTAGGAAAGCGAGATTTCATTGATCATGTGGAATCTGTGGAATCCGTAGGTGAGTTCAAGTTGCAAGTTTCAACTTTAAACTTTTTAGTAACTTGAGTGGTTTATTATCATATCTTCTTCATTGTAGATGGAGTTGTATTGGTGGATCCTGATATTGTGAAGGAAAAAAAAGGTCAGAACACTTAATCACTTCTTAAAGTACTTAAAGTATTATTAATATGATTTAAAATTAGAATGATTTCGGATTTGTGTCAATTGACTCTGTCAGCCAAAGCTGATGATGACTGGTATTTCTGAAGGTGCTTAAGAACTCTGCTATGAAAAAAGATCTATAATCATTCTAACCTCAAATGTTGTTTTAATCAATAATTCATTAGAGTGTAATAAGTTAGATTTCCTTTCTGCCAAACACCAGACATTCAGTACTTGGCAGTGAAGAGTTAGAACATTGCTTCTAAACTCTTTGCTGTCATCTAATGGTCATCTGGAATTTGCCCCCAGTTCTGGGAGCCTTATATTACTGATAATGATAATAAGACTGCCAGAGTTATCCATTCTGTTCAACATTGTAGTTTGTAATATTTATTGTCAGAATTATCAGTGAACCAGCCAACTGTGGCTGATTCAGCAAATTTTTATTCATTTATCATTATTTAACTTAATATATAAAACAGGTTAGTATATAATGAAGTTATTTAAATGACAATAGTGATAGGTGAAGATAGATAGATCCTAATTAAATCAAATACTGCCACTAAATCCATTTTGCCATTTACTATCACACTGAGGTAAATGGCCTGCAACTCACTCCAGCTGAAGCTTCTAACTAGTTTTCACAGTGGACACACTCATAAAATATTATGTTGTTTTCTTGTTGATAAGGCCCATTGGTCAACTCATCCTTTCTTTGATATAGCTATCCTTTGTGGTTTTAAACAAGAGTCTTTCAAAGCTTCCCTGAGGATATTATCTGGCAAAGTATATGCTTTATCAGCTGCTAATTACAAATTATATCCTTTCTTCGCCCTTGCCTTGTTCTCATCCTGCAGTTTTGCTTAAGAAAAAGTCATCAGTAACTTCAGCCAGAAATTGAAACTGGCTTTTTCTAACCAGCTTTTGTTGACTGGGCAAACACAATCTAGTTTTTGTTGCTGAAAGGACTTAGCTTGTAAATAGTTACTTTAAACTAATGAGTAAGAGACTTTTCTACACAAGTAATGGTGTTTATGATTTTAACTTTTGGTATCCATAACATTTTCTATATGCTTTTCCTAGTATATGTGACACTCACGTGTGCATTTCGATACGGACAAGAAGATATTGATATTATAGGTCTGACTTTTAGAAAGGATCTGTACTTTCACAGAGTTCAGATTTATCCATCACTAGACAAACCAGGACCCCTCACTACGTTGCAGGAAAGCCTGATAAATAAACTGGGGAAAAATGCATACCCCTTTGTGTTAACTGTGAGTATTTTGAATCATTATTCCTTTTGGTTCATTTCCCAATTTGCAACTATGATATGGGTGCTTAGACGGTTGTTGTATATATGCAACCTAGGGTCACAGATACAGTATCTATTCATCCCTAATTCAAAACAGTAATTTCCTCCCACAACAGCCTTCCCTGACCTGATGCCTTCCAAATGAGTTGAACTATTATTCCTCTTATATTCCAGCAAATACTGGGGACATATCCATTATATGTCTAATAATACTGGGCTCTTGCAAATAAAAGTATAATTTTATGTTTTAATTGTATTCCACTCAGGATCGCTCTGTAACTGAGATGAGTAGTTTCAAAATTTGATAGATAGGTAAATATTTAAGAATAACACCTGAGTTTAGGAACATTTAGGTTTTTAAAAAGCATTTCAAAAAACAGAACATTGAAGTTGTTTCTTGATTTATAGTGTCACCCACCCACTTCGCTCACTCAAGCAAAGTAAAACTTGTCTTCATTAGTGATTTATCACCACAGTGATGGCTGGCTGATGATAAATGACTCTAGTAAATCACTAGTAAAAAATTACATGGGTAATCTTTGGAAAGTTGTATGAAATGGGGAGGGGTTGTCCTCCTCCTCCTCCTCCTCCTCCTCCTCCTCCTCTTATATCTAATAGCTAATACTGCTATCTAATATCTAATACCAAGATATAAGATATAATATCTAATATCTTAGATATAAGATATAATATCTTATATCCAATAGCTAATACTGCTATGGCAATGAAAGACATTGCAATCAAAATGCTTTAAGTGTATTATTTTTTGTTTCCCTGCAGTTCCCAGATTATCTGCCTTGCTCAGTGTGTCTGCAGCCAGCTCCCCATGAAGTTGAAAAGGTGAGAATTCACAGTATGCATTGCAATGTTTTATATTAAAAAATAAACTAAGTAAGTTGTGGTCATATAGAATAAAATACAAGAGCAAGAAGTGCTTTTGAATGAACAGCTCTTAGTTCTGCTATTCAAAAAAACATTGCATTAGTTTCATTTTTCATTCTTAATGGGTTTTTTATATTAAAAAATACAGAGAATTACTAGGAAAAAATGGGAGTGACAATGTTTAAATCTTGTCTCAAACTTCTGTAAATCTCCAAGAATTATTGCACAATACAAACCTCTACATATATATATAAGGAGTCGAGCTCTGTAGCTCAATGGTTAACACATATGCCTAAGAGGCAATAGAGCACAGGTTCGATTCCCAGC